CKSMTRTATCTGCTCCTCCTCCTCTTACTCCTATATCTGCTCCTCCTACGTCTCCTCGTCGTCGTCGTCCTCGTCCTCCTCCTCCTCCATCTGCTCCGCCGCCACCTCCTCTCCTCCTCCTCCTCCTCTTTCTCCTACTGTTGTTGTGTTGTCGATTGCGCGCGTGTTCTTCTTCTTTCACCAGGCTTATGGACTTGGCGCGCAGCTGCGCAACGTGCAAGGCAGCGGAAGGACGGCGATGGTGGCAGTGATGCGGGCGTCAGTTTTTTTCACCCCCTGCAGAATCTCCACCTTGTCCAGGTGGCAGCAGCAGAGGCCGCCGGTGCTGCCGCCTCCGCCGCCGCCATCGCGAATTATTGCGCCGCCGTATGATGGGATTCACTTCGCGTCGGGATTGCGATCGCAAAAGAGAGCTCAGTGGTTGCTGCAGCCTGGCTGCGACTCGTCACACGCGTCGGGATCTCGACGGGCCATGTCGTCGCAGCTTCGTGAAGGGGGGGCAGAAGGCATGAGAGCAAAGCAGCCGTATTTCTTGGGGCAGAAAAATGAAAATGGTGCGGCAACGTCCACGTCAGCATCTGCCCTCCCCCCCCCTTTTTCTTTTATTTAACTATTTATTATATATTTTCAAGTGCCTGGCCCACGCCGCTGTGTCTGACCAATCTCCCGCCCGCGCTTTCTCGTCTTTTTTTTTTTTTTTTTTTTTTTTTTTTTTTCCGTCTTCTTTATTTATCTTATTAGAGAAAATCGCTGCGCTACCTTAGTGTAAAGATTGACGATAATAAAAAAAAAAAGAAAAAAAAAACATTGACGATGAGTGCATTGTAGTCGGTGCTCGTTGGGATAGGCCGTTTAACTTGTACCAGAGAAAGGAGAGGAAGGAGGGTCGGGGTGAGCAAAGTCGGGATCGGGGCAGCTGCAGCTTCGGGAGCGCGGTTCCACTAGCAAAGGAGTCAGGTAAACTGTGTCCCACAAACACCTATGGGACATCTGCGGGACATCGTCCGACCACTGATGCAGGAGAATCCGCTAGCGAAGGAGTAAGGTAAACTGTGTCCCACAAACACCTATGGGACATCTGCCGGACATCGTCCGACCACTGATGCAGGAGAATCCGATGGCAGAGAAATTGCGATGGATTTATATTCTGAAGTGGTGTTTTCTTTCGTTTTTGTGCTTTCTCTTTTCAGTTCCCAAGAATGGGAGGCCGGAAAAGAAAATAGAAAGACTCATTTTTTTTATTTTTTTATTTTTTTAACCAAAAACTTTTATGAAACCGGGAAACGGGCCCGGCGTCCCTTACAAAGAAAAAGATAAGTGGACCACCGCATTGAGCTTGGCATCACCGGCCTGGCACAAGAGGGTGTCCGCTGTAACATTTGTCTCTTCGAAAGGATATCCTATCAAGTAAAAAAAGAAAAAAATAAAGGAAAACATAACAAAAACTAACAAGATTAGGTAAGCTAACTAGCCTAACCGTGCTGGAAAAACCTACTGGCAAGACCTACAAAAAACATACAAAGCCTTTCTATATTCTAGTTGTCTATTAAAGAATTTCAAGCAACTAACTGTAAGAACAATGTTTCTGCAACGAAGACTACATTGCACTACCATGCCATCATTGTAATAGTAGAAGGCGCAGTTGAAAATAAAATCAAAGAAAAAAGGATGAAAATATCAAATGTGGTGGTTGTTGTTGCCGATCCTGAATCCAAAACAAGATTTGCAGCTCTTCAAAAGATTTAAAAAAATCAAGTACTCGAAGGGCATGGTTTTGACCCCTTTCTTTTTCCCAGTCAATTGTAACCCCATCCAGTACTTTATTTTTCTCTCAAAATATATGAACTGCACGCTTCAGCATGGCAACCGTCAGAGAAGGGAGTCCCATCAGGCACATGAAGGGACTCCCTCGCGGTGGTATGCGAGACTGCAACAGTCACGTACCACTCTGTCCTGATTAGGCATTGGCTGGGTGGGGAGCAGTGGGAGGAGACGGGAGGGTTAGTGGGACGGCAGCACTTTCAAAAGTTGGCCTCCTTCCCATCTTGGGAAATGTGACGTCGCCATTTTCTTTTTTTTAAGTCTTTAAAATTACTTTTCTTCAATTTCTAACAGTGCCGCACAGGTCCTAATAGGCCATGACTCGTGTGCTAGTGGAACTGTGCCCCGGGTGGTGGTTATTATCACTCTGAACGCAATCCATCGCTGGTGTGAATGAAAAACAGGAAAAAAGGAAAGGCAAAAATAAAATAAAATCACCTTGCTTACGTCTTTGCGCTTTGTTATTTATGTCCCTTCCCCCTCCTCTTAATAAAGGATGGCGACGGCCTTGATATCAAAAGGGAGGCACAGTTACTTGCAAATGCTCGGTCCTTGTGTTAGCCGGGCCCCCACCGGCGGCCCCAACCCCGCACCCTAAACGTGAGGCCGGCAAAGGGGCAAACATGCCGTTACCTCGCTCCACTGAGAGAGGTAACCTCTCTCCACCGAGAGAGGTAACCTCCCTTCTCCGAATAGAGGTAGAAAGCTATGCTTGCAGGGGTCTCCTGTATATAGCCTTAGGAGTAGTGGTAGGTAGGTTAATGAAAGTTGGGAAAAAGATATGTTCCATGATGACATGGCAGAACGCCAGTTAAAAAATATGTGAGGTGAGAGAAAAATACGTGGCTGTCCACCGATTAGGAGAGGGCAGCTTTTTGAAAGAAAGAAAAAAAAGAGACATCATCATTGAGCTGAACGGCGGCAGGCAATTCAGAAATATTTGGCTTTACTCATCGATCAAGTTCCAATCATCATCATCTGGATTCGAACTCGGGTCACTCTGTATTTCAACAGTTTGATGGGTGTACCCACTGAGCTAGGCTCTTGGATGTCTTTGCTCTTTTTATTTATTTAAAGACACATCATCATTGAGCTGACCGGCGGCAGGCAATTCAGAAATATTTGGCTTTACTCATCAATCAAGTTCCAATCATAATCATCTGGATTCGAACTCGGGTCAGTCTTTATTTCAACAGTTTATGGGTGTACCCACTGAGCTAGGCTCTTGGATGTCTTTGCTCTTTTTATTTATTTATTTGTTTATTTTATATGTCTTTGCTCTTTGTACACACCGCCGGTCAATTTTTATTTTTTTTTGCCTTTTTCCTTTTTTTTTTTTAAATTCAAAAGTCCAGGCTGTTGTAAAGGCTGGAGGCTAGGCATATGGCACTTCCTTCATTAGGTCGTTTGATTATTCCGGTGATCTATGCAGGTCCCCTATGAGACTCCCTCCCACCCCTTACTCTCATCATTGTCCCGAGCGCACCGTATGAGACTCCCTCCCACCGCTTACCCTCGTCATTGTCCATGGCATACCGCTACTCCCAAGATCCTACCTCAGTGTTCCTATGAAACTCCCTCCCACCCCTTTCTCTCATCATTGTCCCTGGCGCACCCGTATGAGACTCCCTCCCACCCCTTACCCTCATCATTGTTCACGGCGCACCCCTACTCCCAGGATCCTACCTCAGTGTTTTACCACCCAGGATCATCACCCTCCTCGGTCTTACCCCCCTTCCCCCCCCAAGCTACGGGTGGCGTGTGCATGCAAGGGGCAAAGCCGTGATCAGCCTGAGCTTTGGGGGGCGGGGAGGGGGGACAGGAGGGATTCCTCATTTGAACGAGGAGTGCCTGTATTAGTGAGGGGCTCGTTAGACACTCCTTTATCCTAAAAGATTTAGGAGCAGTCCTAAAAGAATTTTAGGAATTGTGGCCTCGCGGTGTCGGTGCGAATACCCTTACAAGGGTATCCGCCCTGTTTTTTGCAAATGATAGAAGATGACTTTATGCGAAATTTTCAAGTACACCGCGCGAGTAGGCAGAAGCACTCAAGTAGCGGATAGGTAGGCAGAAGAAAACAAAAACTTGGTACCTTTAGAGGCCGAAGGAATTTTAGAAAGTCTGGTAGGCTTAGAGTCTAGGGGTACCGGTCCGGTAGTCTGAATCTAGGGCCTGCAGCGAGGGATATCAGACGGCAAATGACGTCTCCCCCCGAAACAAGCACGGTCTAGAAAGCCACCGCCTGAAGAGGCAGTAGGCCAGTATATATTCAGGAAGAGCGAAGAGCTCTTCCTCATTTGCGGTGTGCGAAGTTTGGTGACATGCTGCTTGGGCGAGTGCTGGAAGGAGCAGCGCTAAGAAAGGAGACGGCGGGCTGGGCCTCCTACCTCAGCTATGGTGGAGAGGACCAAGGAGGAGCTTCGTGGGAGGTACTAGGAGGAGGAGGAGGAAAACATCGGGTGATGACAGGGGAAGCTTACCTGCCTATGGTGGTCTGCATCTTTATCGTCTTGGTTGGCGCTGCACCTGGAAGGCCCCGACTGGGATTGGCATCTTCAAGGAAGACTTCAGGGGCATTAGAGGGGCATAGTGGCATAGTAGGAGGGACATGGTAGCTTTGCGTTGTCCTTTGGACATCGGGGCTTCACTCTGATAGTCCACCATGGCCACCTACTCGACATAGTAGGAGGAAGGTGTAGCAGAGGGCTATGGAGGACCCCTTGAGTGGTTGGCAGGAGGAGATTCGGACATTGGTTCTGGTTCATTCTCTCATTGTTATTATTATTATTGTTGTGAAGAATAAGTTGGGAGAGTAGAAGGAGGTTGGAGATGGTGGCGAGATGAAGGGGAATTGACATTGTTCTTTTTGCGGGTGTTCATCTTCTACTTCTTCTTCCATTCTCATTTGTTCTTCTTCGTCAGTCTACTTCTCTCTCCAAGTTCTATAATTTTGGTTCCAATTGAATGACATTGTCTTTCTTTGAGTTATTGCACTGCAAATTGACCAGGATCATAACAATAAAATGATTTCAAGTTTAGTCTGGTTGCAAACTTTGGTCTGTTTCTTTCTGGCTGACAAATTCCAAATTCCAACTATATCCCTCTGAATTTTTGCAATTTTCGATTGCGTGTGCAGTGGTAGAGAGGATGGGCAGCAGTGCCTGCAGCAATGGAGTGGCAGCGGCCTGTACAGAAGAAGAACCTGGAGCTGCGCTAGAGCTGAAAACAGGTCTTTGACATCCTCCTCCTTCCGTAGAGTTCTCTTCCTCTTCCTTTTTCTTCTCCTCCTACTGCTCCTTGTCCTGTCCTTTAAAAAAAAAAAA